AGGTGATCAGAGGATTAGATAGGGTGGACAGTGGGAGCCTTTTTCCTTGGATGGTGATGGCTAGCACGAGGGGACATAGCTTTAAACTGAGGGGTGATAGATATAGGACAGATGTCAGAAGTAGGTTCTTTACTCAGAGAGTAGTAAGGGCGTGGAATGCCCTGCCTGCAAAAGTAGTAGACTCGCCAACTTTAAGAGCATTTAAATGGTCATTGGATAAACATATGGATGATAATGGAATAGTGTCGCTTATGGGCTTCAGATTGGTTTCACAGGTTGGCGCAACATCGAGGGCCGAAGGGCCTGTACTGCGCTGTAATGTTCTATGTTCTATCACTATGAGAAGTGCTGAGAAGAAACCTGACATTCATAAGGTCTCCTTCCCCTGACAGTCAATGGGCAATGAACAGATGCTGGAACCCTAACTATTTTTAATAGATCACCAGCTCTCAGGGGAACTTGAGCAAGTACTGCTCTGTCTAAATTCAAGATATTAATAGCCTATACCTCCGTTTATAGGGCTCCAACTTCAAAACTGGTCTATGATTCCAAACATGAAAGCATTGTGACCTGAAGGTAGTGTTGAGCTGCAAAAGGACAGAAATGGGCAAAGCAATGATACATTTTGATCAGAAGGATATGAAAAATAACTTCAAAGGGGTATAGAAGCAGATGGACCTGGATGTTAATGGGTTTCAGTCATGGCAGGACAGGTCAAGAGCACAGTTAATAAAGCATACAGTATTCCAAATTTTATTAATAGGGACATAACTTACAGAGCAAGGAGGCTATATTGATTTGTATAAAACATCAGTTTGGCCTTAGCTGTAGTATGGCCGAGTTCTGGGTAGACCACTTTAGGGAGTGAAGAAAAGATTCATGAGAATGGTTACAGGGATGAGGAAATTCAATTACAAAGATAAAGTGGAGAAGTTAGGAGTATTTTCCTTCGAGAAGAAGGGATTTGATAGAGGTATTCAAAGTCATGTAGGGTATGGACAGAGTATATTTGGAGAAACTATTTCTGCTTGTGAAGTGATTGAGAATTATTCGAAGAGCACAGATTTAAAGTAATTGGCAAATAAAGAGAAATCAAAACTAACTTGTTTCATGCAGGTGTTAAAATTTGTGAAGCATACTAGAGTACAGTGGAGACACAAAGGAAATTAGATTTATTTGAAAAAGAACAATGAGCAAGGGTGTGGACAGAAGACAATAGAATGGCACCAAGTGAATTACTTCAAGAACTGGTGTAGACAAGATGGGCCAAAAGGTCTCCTTGTGCACTGTCATAACTCTGATCTATGGGGGTACTACATACAGATCAAAAGATTACATCTACATAGAAACAACAACTTGAAAACAAACTATTTAGCTCAACCGGTCCCTGCTGGCATTCACCCTCAACACCATTCTGGCAGTCAGCTGCATTGTTCATTCTGTTGGAGGAATGGACAGATATTGAAAAACAACTTGTCACACAATCTGTCCATTTTGGTGGTGCTTTATTTTTCTCTTGAGGGCAGTGGTGGGGGGGGGGGGGGGGGGAAGCTTTGTGAAACAATTTGAAAACTTCTTACCCACAGCCTATTTAAATGGTATAAATGTGTTTATTTTTAACCAAGCAATAAATTGATTACATCATCTTGTTAATCAACACAAGATTACATGATAAACCAGCATTTAACACCAAGCTGAAGGAATAGGAATATTGCAGGGTCATTACTGACCAATATTATACATAAAACCTTCATTTCTCTCCCTTCACTCAGGCTTACATCACTTTCCCCATTGTTTTCATTGCAAGCCTTCAGTTCTGAATTAAGTTTTTTTAACATGCAAGGGTTCATGACAGATAAATGTAGATTCCAGTTAGTGCTACATAGGTGCAGTGCTCCCTCCATTTTGACCAGAGTCTCCAAAGGAGCTTACCCATTATTTAAAATGGCAAAACAGATAAAGGAGCCCACGCCTGGAATCAGAACTACTCAGAACTGGTGTACACCCTCCTTCAGGATCACCCACAGTCAACAAAGCAATACTTACCTGCCCCACCAACCTACAGCCTGAGAATGCTCCTGTATGCAGCCCAAGACTCCAGCCAGGGACTAGCCACAGATCATTAATCCTGTGAAACAGCCCAAACACCAGCAACATCTTCACTTCAGCGCACTGACCAAGCCCATGGCACAAATTCATTCTGGGCCATCAGCCCCTCAGTGTTACACAGAGTTAAGATTGGATTCTTTAACTGTTATGAACATTATAAATACACGCAGTGGTGAGCAGTTGGTACATAAACCTTGGCTGATTATTTTTCCCTCTCATCTATTTTAGGGAAGACTAAAATCTCAGTCTGTGGATGCATGCTAGTGACAGGAAATCCCAACTAGGAACAAAAGGTATTGGTTCAAAACTGTAACAGTTTCTCTCCCCACAGATGCTGCCAGACCTGCTGAGTTTCTCCAGCACTGTTTTTATTCCTGACTGCACAACCCATTTAAAACAAAACCTACTAATTAAGTTCCCCTTCCCAAAAAATAATAAAATTCAATGTTTTATTATATTTATAGCTGTATGTGTAATATATTCATTTACATTTTCTTTGTTCTTCTTTCGAAAGAAAGGAGCATCACTGATTGACACGCAAACTAAAATGTTTAATACATGTCTTCAATTGGACAGGCACTAGAGCAGAAAATCCAAATGATTTCAGTGACAATTGGGAGTGGAGGGAATAAGAGGGAAATGGAGAGCTGAATGTCTTTCCTCATTTCATTCACACACTTATTTGAGAAGGCAGGGTTTGAGTACTATGTGAATAGGATATAAAAATCAACTTGGAATTAGCCTGTCGCTGATTTGAGGAAAGGGAAGAATCATAGGCAAGGCCTGATTAAGTAATCCCATGAAAAACCTGAACCTCCTCCCTCTCGAATACCAAAGCCGATTGGTATTGTCTGCATTGTGTAATCCAGCAATTTGGTGGTTGTAGCTTTTTGCCCCACCTCTAGCCTTAATTGCCACACTAAACTGTACTGCAGAGGGGAGAAATTCAGGAATATGAATTAGCAACAGGAAAAGCATGGACATGAACGTAGGATTTATGGAAGTGAAAAGAATAAATTAACACCAAATAATTAACATAAGTAATCAAAACAAAGCTTTGAATGTGAGATACAAGTTTAGAATTCAAAAAATTAGTGTTTGTCAGTCTTTCTGGGGCACAAGCAGGTAGATGCTCAAGGCCAGTATATTAATGAAGTCCCAACAACAAAGTGAATCACTGATAGGGTCCAAACTAATTTGTCTGTTTCAGCCTCTTGGCAGCAGTTGTGCAAGTTCTTGAGGATGATACAATCTGGACGTTTCCAGGATAGGCCAAAATTGACCAGAAGGGTAACTCAATCCTCATCTTGGACACGAACAGAGAAAAACCAGAAAACTGGAAAAAATTTTTTCTTTACTTCTGACTTGATGACTCTGGTTAACATTTGTTTAAAAGTGCAGACATTGTACAGGAGGCAGGAGTGGGGTGAAGGGAAACCAGGAAGTCATGGTTGATGGCCACTTAAACAAGGTCCTACTGAGAGACTAGCCACGCACTTTATGGAGCGAGTGCAGGCATCATTCAGACAGTTGAATCATGTTTGATTGTCTCCTTAAGAAATCAAGCAGCCCGTGTCTTTCTGGGGTTTCAGGTCTGGCTCCTTCACTGGCTTCACCTCTTCTTCCTTTTTATCCTTAGCCTAAGAGGAAATGAAAATGTATCAAATGTCACATTCTATATGAGCAAGTCATGCAGACACAGCCCAGGACTATAGTCAAAGTTCAGGATTAAAACAGGAGCTGGTCTCCAATAAAGGGCAGAGTATGAACAGTTAGAGAAATACTTTTGGTGTACTGTAGTTATTGTTAGACAGGAATGCATTTTTCTTCCACCCTTAGAAAGTAGTTTGAATGAATAATAAAAACATTTTTCTTCCTTGCTATATAAAAATAGCTCATGCAATTGCAGAATGTATTGTAAAGAATGTATTAGCAGAGCATTTGGAAGCAATATAATCAAGAAGAGTCATTTTAGCATCGTGAAGGAGAAAATCATGCATAATAAATGTATTACAGTTCTTTGAAGTAACAAGTAGAATAGATAAAGGAGAACCAGTGGACACAACATATTTGGATTTCCAAATGGCATTTGAAAAGGTACTGCATACAAGGCTATTTAAGATAAGAGCCCATAATACAATAGTGAGTATATTTGCATGGATAGAGGATTTTTAATAGAAGACAATTGGGATAAAATTAGTATTTTTGGAATGGTAATGCGACAGGGATCAGTGCTGGCACTATAATTATTAACAATATATATGTATTAATTACTTGGATGCCAGAAGTGAACCTATCCCTATCACTGGGCAGCACGGTGGCACAGTGGCTAGCACTGATACCTTGCAATACCAGGGCCTCAAGTACAACTACAGCCTTGGGTAACTGTTTGTGAGGAGTTTGCACATTCTCCCCCTGTCTGTGTGGTTCCACCATGTGCACTGGTCTCCCCTCTCAGTCCAAAGATGTGTTGGTTAGGTGGATTGGCCATGTTAAATTGCCCCATTGTGCAGACTAAGTGGTATAGCCATGGTAAATGCGGGGTTACAGTAATAGGGTTGGGGGAGTGCTATCTGAGTAGGATACTTTTTGGAGGGTTAGTGCAGACATGATGGGCTGAATGGCATTTACATTCACTGTAGGGATTCTATAATCATCAAGTTTGCGATGACAAAAATAAATGGGAAGCAAGTGGTAAGGATGATTCAGTCTGCACAAGGTTAAAGACAGGTTAAATGATTGGCAAAAATTTGACAAATGGCATATACTGTGGGAAAATGTGTGGTTATGCACTTTGTCAGGAAGAATAGAGAAGCTGAATATTGTTTAAATGGATAAAGACAACTAAAACTGACAGAACAGAAGGATTTGGGAATCTTCATCCATGAATGACAAAAGGCTGGCATCAAAGTTCAGCAGATAATAGGAAAGGTAATAGAATGTTGGTCTTTATGTCAAAAGGAATACAGTATAAAAATAAGGAGGTCTTGCTAAGACTAATCAGATCACATATGAAATTGTGAAGTTTTATTTCCTTTATTTAAGGAAGTTATACGGGTAATAAAAACAATCTAAACGAGGTTCACAAGGCTGATACCATGTGTGGAGGGTCTGTCTTATGAGGAAAGATTGAGTAAGTTAAGCCTGTACACATTGGAGTTTAGAAGAATGAGAGGAACCCTATTGAAACACAAGATTCTTGGGGGTCTTGACCTTGGTCGATGCGGAAAGGTTGTGTCTGTTTGTGGGAGAGTCTAGGACCAGAGCGCATAACCTCAGAATAAGGGATCGCTCATTTAACACTCAAAGGACAAGGAGGATGTTTTTTTCTCTCAGATGGTAGTGAATCAATAGAATTCTTTACCACAGAAGGCGGTCAAGACAGGGTTGTTAATTACACTTAATGCTGAGAGACAGATTTCTAATCATTGTGGGAGCCAAGGGTTATGGTGATAATGCAGGAAAGTGGAATTGAGGGTTATCAGATCAGCCATGATCTCAATGAATGCCAGAGCAGACTCGATGGTCCGAATGGCCAACTTTTGCTTCTACACCTTATGGTCTGATCAGTTGTTTAGCCTCTTTCCCTGAAGAGGCTTGGTTCTCTCAGGGACTCTGATCCAACTCGTTCTATAGTACACTAGTGACTACACTTTGAAACAACTCAGTTGGGAACAAAATACTTTGGGGTGTCCTGAAGTACTAAAAGGACTATGGATGTGCAAATGTTTATTTTCTTTCTTCAATCCAATTTCTGGCGAGGGCTATGATCCTGAGCATTGTTTGGATTCAATGCCTTGTTTTATACTTCCCACAAGTAGTTACTACTCATTGAAATCAGCTCATGAAGGACAGGGTGAGATCAATCTTGAGGCCTTCAAATCCTCACAGCATGAACCCATCTGGTCACTGGGAGACAGAGTCACGCTAGCAGATAGCCCTTTGTACCTTGTCATCCTTGGGGCCTTTAGTAATATCGAATGCAGTGTACACGTCCTGGCTCCACTGACTGCTGAGTGCTGGAAGCTCAAATGACTGGGGCTCCACCAAACCATAGTTGGCCTTCAGCTCCAGCTGTGGAGCCTCTGGAGGAACTTTCTGGAAGTAGCTTGAAAGAGAAAAATGGAGCATAATAAAGATTATTCTTCCTTGGTTACCTATGTTTATCACACAAGAGCATCCCTCCTTAATCACAGAAGCGTCTTTCCTATCAATTTATCATAAACAACCCCCTGGACAGCAGCATTCAGTTATCAGAATCCCCATTTCCTTGGCTTTTGCAGCTCATGAAATAGAAATCAGTGAATGAGTGGTCAGTCAACTAGGTTGAAGGGCTAAGGTTGCCAGAGGCCTGGTTCAACCTGCTACTGTTACACAGGCAAAGCAGTGTAGTGGTGATCAAGAGAATAGAAATTCAAATCTCTCTATAGCAGTGTGACAATCTTGAGTTTATGAAGTAAAAGTTAGTATTACTAAGGTGATTGTGAAGATTGTTTTTTAAAGACCCAACAATGGTTTAGTAATACTTTTTAGGGAAGGTAATACTGCGTCCTTATGTGACTTCAGTTGATAACTAACGTGGTTCACTATTAACTACTCAGCCACTCAATTTAGAATGTACAATAAATGATGACATTGCCAATGAATAAAAATAAACTTACATGAACCCATTCTCTCTCTGACACTTTTCTAGGGTGTTTCTGATGTATGTTCCCAACTTCCTAAAGAACAAGTGCTCGGATGGCTTGGCTGTTGATCCTGGCCCTTTTGTTTGACCATATTCCTTGCAGAGAGCCTCTGCCTTGGAGTAATCTACAGGAATAAAAAGAAAGATGTGGAGGAAACCACTTTCTAATCTTTCACGTCACTTACATTTGGATAACAATAAGCAGCCTAGGAATCACTTTATTCCTATCTTTACATCTATCTGTTCCTAGATTAGGCCAGAAATCACACGACACCAGGTTTATAGTCCGACAGGTTTATTTGAAAACACAAGCTTTTGGAGCCTAAAGCTTGTGTTTTCAAATAAGCCTGTCGGACAATAAACCTGGTGTCGTGTGATTTCTGACCTTGTCTACCCCAGTCCAACACCAGCACCTGCACTATAATCAAACAGCTGGGAGGTATGCATGAGGGTGGAATGACAACTGAAATTTTTATGCTCTGGGCCATTTTCTAGGGAAGGGTGAATTTGTCTTGCTACTTGCTCAACTTGATCCCTACTATTCTGTTCAGGATCACAAGATTCTCCACTAATTTCAAGCCTTTGCTCCACTCCTCTCCATCACATCCCATCCTCCCTATTTAGATCCAGAGTACTACGATGAATGTGGGCAAATTCCCAAGCTACATGGAAAAACCGGAATTCAGATTTTTTTTTTATTTTTTTTTTTTTTTAAAAAAAAAACTTATCTCTGCACAACCCAACAACACTCTTTGAGTTTTGGCCATTAACTTCTAGAACATAGAACATTACAGCGCAGTACAGGCCCTTCGGCCCTCGATGTTGCGCCAACCTGTGAAACCAATCTGAAGCCCATCTAACCTACACTATTCCATTATCATCCATATGTTTATCCAATGACCATTTAAATGCCCTTAAAGTGGGTGAGTCTACTACTTTTGCAGGCAGGGCATTCCACGCCCTTGCTACTCTGAGTAAAGAACCTACCTCTGACATCTGTCCTATATCTATCACCCCTCAATTTAAAGCTATGCCCCCTCGTGCTAGCCA